GCTGCCGCAACCCGCGTAGTGGTTGCCGTTTTGCCAGCCGCCGCTGTAGTGGCCTTGGGGTGGCTCAAAGAACGCCCGCTCGGCTTCAAACCAGCCGCCTCGAATGGCCTGTATGAGCCCAGCCGCCGTACGGGTCGGGTAGAGGCTCTGGGCCTGGTAGAGGTAATTCAGCGCATCTTCCGTGCGTCCACACTGCAGGCGCACTTGGGCAATCTTTATCAGCATCTCGGCCCGTTGGCGATCCATCTCGCCTTCGCCGATCACCGACAAAAAAAACGTTTTCAGCGCCTTAAACTGGCATCCAACAAAATACCAAACGATGGACCAAAAAATGTGTCAAAATTTTGGCAAAAATTATCTACCTCTCCGGGAGCGTGAGGCCCATGGGGCTTACAACCATCCGTAAATATCCCTTCGATCTGCAAGGGCAGCTAGAGTCCATTTAAAAACATCCAATGGTCAATCCTAAAAGGACTTCTGCGCGGCGGCATAACCTTTTCGCGTTGCAGGCGGTGCAATTTTTCGAAGCGCCTCTTGCAAATGAGCCAAGCGTCATTGTCCTCCTTTTGGTGGAGCCTAATTCCCGGAAACCAGGTGTTACAACCGCGCTACGAGAAAGTGTTAATTCTCAGCTCGGATCCCGAGTACAAACGACTGCCGGTGAATATCAATGACAGCGCCGCCGGCGGTCTCCGGTTGGAGGATTTCGCTGGCCGGTTCAAAGCTCCTCCGCGCTGCAGATTTTCTCAGCAGGGTTTGCTTTTTGTCATCGGAGGAGGGAGAAAGAAGAGGGCAGCTTTCAGGATTCCGGACCTCGGGAATGGCGGATCCAGGAGATTTGAATCGAGCAGCCGGGTGACGAGCTCCGGATGATGCCGCCGTGTTTTCATTCCCCTTGCCACCTGCACAGCGGCGCAATTCTAATCCCTGTAGTCTCCCTTTATAGATTGATTAGCCACGGCTCTGGAGGCAGGCATCATATATCGCTGGCAAGCTTCCACCTCCCCTTCCCCCCACCGGCCCTATAAAAAAACCAAGGCTGTGGGATGCAGCTGCCTTTAAGACGACACAGGCACTACAGACAGCAGCAGCTGATGCTAAACCCATGGTGCTTCCTTCCTGCCCCAGGGCATGCTGGGAAATGTAGTCTTGGAAGCAGAAGCTAAGTAGATGCAGATGCGCCCCCCTCCCCTCCCCCCTGCATCCAGACCGCTGTATAATGTGCAGCTCCCGTATCCGTTCTTATATCAGGGGATGCATCGCATTATAATGACAACAATATCACAATGTATCCATAGAAACGCCCCAGAGAATCCTTTGTTTCTTTTTTATCTATTGAGTACAAATACTGAATTAAAATGATTTACATTAGAGTGTAAGCTCCTCTGTACAGAGACTGATGTGACTGTGGAGGGGGACATTAGAGTGTAAGCTCCTCTGTACAGAGACTGATGTGACTGTGGGGGGACATTAGAGTGTAAGCTCCTCTGTACAGAGACTGATGTGACTGTGGGGAAGGGGACATTAGAGTGTAAGCTCCTCTGTACAGAGACTGATGTGACTGTGGGGGAGGGGACATTAGAGTGTAAGCTCCTCTGTACAGAGACTGATGTGACTGGGGGGGAGGGGACATTAGAGTGTAAGCTCCTCTGTACAGAGACTGATGTGACTGGGGGGGAGGGGACATTAGAGTGTAAGCTCCTCTGTACAGAGACTGATGTGACTGGGGGGGAGGGGACATTAGAGTGTAAGCTCCTCTGTACAGAGACTGATGTGACTGGGGGGGAGGGGACATTAGAGTGTAAGCTCCTCTGTACAGAGACTGATGTGACTGTGGGGGAGGGGACATTAGAGTGTAAGCTCCTCTGTACAGAGACTGATGTCACTGGGGGGGAGGGGACATTAGAGTGTAAGCTCCTCTGTACAGAGACTGATGTGACTGGGGGGGAGGGGACATTAGAGTGTAAGCTCCTCTGTACAGAGACTGATGTGACTGGGGGGGAGGGGACATTAGAGTGTAAGCTCCTCTGTACAGAGACTGATGTGACTGTGTGGGAGGGGACATTAGAGTGTAAGCTCCTCTGTACAGAGACTGATGTGACTGTGGGGAGGGGACATTAGAGTGTAAGCTCCTCTGTACAGAGACTGATGTGACTTTTGGGGGAGGGGACATTAGAGTGTAAGCTCCTCTGTACAGAGACCGATGTGACTGTGCGGGGACATTAGAGTGTAAGCTCCTCTGTACAGAGGCTGATATGACTGTTTGGGGAGGGGACATTAGAGTGTAAGCTCCTCTGTACAGAGACTGATGTGACTGTGGGGGGAGGGGACATTAGAGTCTAAGCTCCTCTGTACAGAGACTGATGTGACTGGCTCGGTGTTCTCTGTACAGCGCTGTGGTATATGTCAGAGCTATATACATGTATAATGATAGTGTGTGACTGGCATTCCCCCCATTTAGTTCTCCTGTAGCTGTGTAGATTTGTATCAGCTCTGCAACTCCCAGGTCACCGAACCTTACAACATTGCTAGGGATGCCTGCTTTTTTGCTTCAACTCTGTGGAGTCAAACTTTGGGGAGTGAAGAAGCCAGTTGTAGGGGTGCGGGATTGGTTGCCATGGTGTGTGATTCTGTAGGAAGCAGAGAGCTGCAGTCCAGTTTGTCTGCACGAGTGTAGTGTCTCAGTCTCTTGCGGTTTGCGCTTGCTGCAGCAGGGTGTGCTAGAGAGGTGACATTCGGTGTTATGGATGCTCAGAGCAGCCATCAGAAATTTTTTGGCCCCTTATACGGCTTTAGGCCGGGCCCCCCCGTGCGCCGCTGGACACAGTGCTTAGTGACGCGCTGGACGCAGGGCTTAGTGACGCGCTGGACGCAGGGCTTAGTGACGCGCTGGACGCAGTGCTTAGTGACGCGCTGGACGCAGGGCTTAGTGACGCGCTGGACGCAGGGCTTAGTGACGACGTGGTGGGCTTAGTGACGCGATGGACACAGGACCCACCTGAGAGTGACCCTCTAGAGCCCACTATAGATGCTGCACAGCCCATCTGAGACTGTCTATGGTGGGCTCTGAAGGGGTCTCAGGTGGGCTGGTCAGAGCTGCATCCCTCCCCTCCCTCCTTTCCTTCCTTCCTAGCTCCTCTTACCTGCACACATGGCCTCGTCTGCCGCCGGACCGGCCAGAAGTGACATCACTGATGAGGCCCTAACTTGTCTCAAAGCCTCCGCCTCCTCGCCCTTCACCGCCGGCCGATAATCATGCAAGGGACCCGGGCGGGCCCCCAAGGCGGCTGCCCGGGCCCCTTACATGAATATTGACCGTACCCCCCTGATGGCTGCCCTGTGGATGCTTGATGACTCATGCCATTATGGTATGGATGTTTGATGGTTCAGCCTATCAGCAGGCTGGGGTGGCCTGGTGAACTGGCTGGGAAGGTATAAAATATTTCGGGACACTTCCCAGCACATGGTCTTCCGTCCTAAGCTTCTGCCTGGTGAGGACGATGCTGTCTGAACTCTCTGTCCCCCAGGACTTTGGCCCCGATTGGAGCCTTACGGGAATCATCCCTCCTGGCAAGATACCCTGAACATGCTGGTTGCAAGTGATGTCCTGTTCTGGCCTAGATGAAGCAAGCTGCACCTGTCCACCATGAGAGAGATGGTCAGTGATTGGCTGAGTGGAAAGTTTACACAGGAACCTTTCCATGCTTTCCTGCCTCAGAACATAAAGACGGAGTCTCGGGTGAATTGGAGACCAGCAGCTTATTCAGTGCACTGCTTAGGCACAATTGCCAAGTCTCTATGTTCCCTATAACATAAGTCTTTACTTTTTGAGTATAGGGAAGGGGGAGGAGCATAGGGAATAAGTATGTGATGTAATTATACATGATGGCCTCTAGATGGAGCTGAGGAGCATAGGGAATAAGTATGTGATGTAATAATACACGATGGCCTCTAGATGGAGCTGAGGAGCATAGGGAATAAGTATGTGATGTAATAATACAGTATGGCCTCTACATGGAGCTGAGGAGCATAGGAAATAAGTATGTGATGTAATAATACATGATGGCCTCTAGATGGAGCTGAGGAGCATAGGGAATAAGTATGTGATGTAATAATACATGATGACCTCTAGATGGAGCTGAGGAGCATAGGGAATAAGTATGTGATGTAATAATACATGATGACCTCTAGATGGAGCTGAGGAGCATAGGGAATAAGTATGTGATGTAATAATACATGATGACCTCTAGATGGAGCTGAGGAGCATAGGGAATAAGTATGTGATGTAATAATACATTATGGCCTCTAGATGGAGCTGAGGAGCATAGGGAATATGTATGTGATGTAATAATACATTATGGCCTCTAGATGGAGCTGAGGAGCATAGGGAATAAGTATGTGATGTAATAATACATTATGGCCTCTAGATGGAGCTGAGGAGCATAGGGAATAAGTATGTGATGTAATAATACATTATGGCCTCTAGATGGAGCTGAGGAGCATAGGGAATAAGTATGTGATGTAATAATACATTATGGCCTCTAGATGGAGCTGAGGAGCATAGGGAATAAGTATGTGATGTAATAATACATTATGGCCTCTAGATGGAGCTGAGAAGCATAGGGAATAAGTATGTGATGTAATAATACATTATGGCCTCTAGATGGAGCTGAGGAGCATAGGGAATAAGTATGTGATGTAATAATACATTATGGCCTCTAGATGGAGCTGAGGAGCATAGGGAATAAGTATGTGATGTAATAATACATTATGGCCTCTAGATGGAGCTGAGGAGCATAGGGAATAAGTATGTGATGTAATAATACATTATGGCCTCTAGATGGAGCTGAGGAGCATAGGGAATAAGTATGTGATGTAATAATACATTATGGCCTCTAGATGGAGCTGAGGAGCATAGGGAATAAGTATGTGATGTAATAATACATTATGGCCTCTAGATGGAGCTGAGGAGCATAGGGAATATGTATGTGATGTAATAATACATTATGGCCTCTAGATGGAGCTGAGGAGCATAGGGAATAAGTATGTGATGTAATAATACATTATGGCCTCTAGATGGAGCTGAGGAGCATAGGGAATAAGTATGTGATGTAATAATACATTATGGCCTCTAGATGGAGCTGAGGAGCATAGGGAATAAGTATGTGATGTAATAATACATTATGGCCTCTAGATGGAGCTGAGGAGCATAGGGAATAAGTATGTGATGTAATAATACATTATGGCCTCTAGATGGAGCTGAGAAGCATAGGGAATAAGTATGTGATGTAATAATACATTATGGCCTCTAGATGGAGCTGAGAAGCATAGGGAATAAGTATGTGATGTAATAATACATGATGGCCTCTAGATGGAGCTGAGAAGCATAGGGAATAAGTATGCACAGAATGAACATACTGTATATTCCTAGGGAAAATGGCTCTATGAAATGCTTATAAACAGGCACCTATGTGTTTATTATATCTGTAATGATTGTATCAGTATATAAAATCTTTTTTTTTAATCTAACAATGACTTTTATTTAAAAATGACTTTGTTTTTATTTTTCTTCATCCAGGCCAAGCTGTCCAGCAAAAGTGACATTTACAGGAGTTATACAAACCACATAACACTGCTTACCATGGTCAGCTTTTTATTCGTATCATTTAAAAAGTATTTCCGAGAAAAAAAAACAAAACCTGTTGATTTGAACTGATTAAAACAGCTTAACAAGTGTGAACAGAGGCCGGTTTTAATTTGTCTTCACTTACTTAAAGGAGGACTATGAGGTGAGAGATTTTCACTCACCTCATAGTTCTAGCCGACCTGTGACAATGAGACTGTCACAGGTCGGCTCAGTAGATCGGGAGGTGAGGGAACACATACCATCGCTCGCTCACTTCTCGATCTATCCCTGCAGAGAGCGATGACTGTCACTCACGGCTCCGTGCAGGGATTCCCCCCCCCCTGTCCGATCCTGCAGCGCTGACTGGCGGAACGGATGAGGGAGGGGCGGGTACAACTGGCTCTGCCTCTAGATAGGCAGAGACAGCTGTCAATCACGCAGCTGGGTGGATCCAGACAGTAATGTCGGGATCCGTCCCGGCTGCGGCGGTCTCAGTATATTGGGAGCTGTAGCTCGCAGTATACTGAGCCTAGGGTGACGGGAGGACGCTAGTTTATGTCCCCCCGTGACCCTCAGGAGAACTATGGGGAAAAGCACTGACCCCATAGTTCTCCTTTACGTTTGCCTCAGCATTGCCCTGAAAAAGGGACCTTTAGTTTTGCCTCCTAAAATATAGCATTGCACTTCCTGGTATGTGAGGGCGCCTCCCTTCCACGTGAGGGTGCCTCCCTTCCTTGGGAGGGTGCCTAGGCACTCCTTTGCCTAGGGCTTCATAGCTGTATGCCTACAGTGTGGGATTGTCAAAGGCTCAGCTACTTCTGGTAACTTGGAGACTGGCAGTTTCTTCCGGGTGCCCCTTAGGCTCAATTGACGTGTCTAAATGTTTCCCAGAACATAGTACATCTTTAATTTGTAAGTTTAGGGCCACGCTAACTTGGGGGAAAAGCCCAAACCCTATATACGGCCTGGGGCTTAGGCTCTGGGCTCTTCAAATGCAGAGGAACTGACTCTGGCTGTCAAAACTGCTTATGGAGGACCAAGTTTTGGGCTGCATCATCAACAGTAATGACCATTTTTTTGTGTGTGAAGGCTTCCTGGTGTGTGGCCGGGGTTCTTCATGTATTGAAAAGAACTGATGTGAAGGTATCTGAAGGTACCACAACATATTTCACACTCTGATGGACATGACAGGTTCATATTAATTAACATTAACATCCATTGTTGGCATCAACCCATCTTGTCCTCATTCGGCCAGGAGACCACCGTTGAACATTGAGGCCTTCCACCGATCTTTTGCTTCTTTGTTCTTGATTGTGACCCAAGTCTGATATATTCTAGAAGGGCTTTTATAAAGTGAATAAAGTACTTCAGGACGAATATAAATCTTTCAAAGTTGGCTTTCATGGTAGGTCCAACATGTTATTGATTGTATAGAGCTCCTGCGTGATGTTGTAGACCTTAACTATGGAATCTACAGTGGTCAAAAGGACAACTCTCGCTTCCTTGTGGTCCCGGACACATACTACTTTGTACATCTCCTCCAAAGGGGGCAGGGCCAAAAATGCCACTTCGGCAACCTGCCGGATGAACCAACTGTGGTAATGGGACAAGGTCTTGTGATAGGCCTCGGCACACATTTCTGAAGTCCTGCCCTGCCCGGGGCTGATGCCCACTTTGTAAAGAAAGACTTCCAGCCATTTAAGGGCTCGATGCATGCGCAAGAGGGTTCGGCAGCCTGAGGGCACCCGATTGGTAGGCAGGTATTCAAAGTTCACCACCTTGTGCTCCAATTCGTATGTTATCATCGACTTGATGGTTTTGTAGCTCATTCCGTTCTCACTGTCCAGATATCCCTGAAGGATGTTGATTTTGGTCATTGTTTCATGAGAGATAAAGGAGAACACAGAACCCATCGAGTCCATGAACCTAAGAAAAAAGTGGAAAGTGTCACTGCACAGACTCAGAGCCCCCTTCTGTCTGTATCACCCTGCAGGAGGAGGACAGACTCATAGCTCCCTTCTGTCTGTGTCACCCTGCAGGAGGAGGACAGACTCATAGCCCCCTTCTGTCTGTGTCACCCTGCAGGAGGAGGACAGACTCATAGCTCCCTCCTGTCTGTGTCACTGTGAAGTAGAATGTATAATATTTAACTCACTTTATCAGTTCTCTCCATCCGTCTAAGTATTGCTCCAGTAAGATCTCATTGTCACCTGTCACACACTCATGAAATGATTGCATCATATTCCCAATCTGGAAGTTCTTCCCTTTGCAGTTCTTCATCGAGTTTTCTAACACCTGCCGGTAGGAGGAGTCTTCTTTGAAGGACTCCTCCCCCTTTTCCTGTTGTAAGAAGACAGAACTTTGTGACAGCCATAGATTGCTATCTCACAGATATGAAATGCTCAGGCATTATAATGGTTCACACGAGACTTCATCTCCCTTTCAAGAAAAACATCTTATTAGTTCATGTGGGGCCATGAGGCACCAAGCAGACCCAATACACCAAGCAATAGCGACATTCTGACATAACTAGAGGACTGCACATTACATTCAGCACTGGTAAAGCTGCAGAAGACTGTTAGCCTGAGGCTTAGAAAATGCTGCAGAGACCAAAATATGCCACAGGAGACGGAGGAGTCAGAAGTAGGGAAATGCTGCAGAAAATTGTTAGAACCTGGGGACATGCTACAGGTGACTGTCAGCGCACTGGGACATGCTACAGGAGTAGTCAGAGACTGGAGACTCTTTCTGGCAGTGCAGGTACTGTAGTCCAGTGCAGCGGTTTTGGTGGTGTGCGTTGTTTAGAATGGTATGGAAGTTCTGGCGGGGTAGATGGTGTAGAATGGTATGGCGGTTCTGGTGGTGTGTACTGTATAGAATGGTATGGTAGTTCTGGTTGTATGGGTTGTGTAGAATGGTATGGCGGTTCTGGTAGTGTGGGTTATGTAGAATGGTATGGTAGTTCCAGTGGTGTGGGTGGTGTAGAATGGTATGGCGGTTCTGGTTGTGTGGGTTGGGTAGAATGGTATGGTAGTTCTGGTGGTGTGGGTGGTGTAGAATGGTATGGCAGTTCTGGTGGTGTGGGTGGTGTAGAATAGTATGGTAGTTCCAGTGGTGTGGGTTGGGTAGAATGGTATGGTAGTTCTGGTTGTGTGGGTTGTGTAGAATGGTATGGCAGTTCTGGTGGTGTGGGTGGTGTAAATGGTATGGCAGTTCTGGTGGTGTGGGTGGTGTAGAATGGTATGGCAGTTCTGGTGGTGTGGGTGGTGTAGAATAGTATGGTAGTTCCAGTGGTGTGGGTTGGGTAGAATGGTATGGTAGTTCTGGTTGTGTAGAATGGTATGGCGGTTCTGGTGGTGTACGTGGTGTAGAATCATCATGCTGCTGCTCTTCTGGAGCATGAGTGGACCTCATCACTGGAAGAGTCCACAACACAAAGGCACAAAGAACCCTTCACTTCTGCATTCCAGAGGACTCCAGGTCCACACGTGTGTGACCACAAATTTAGGTAAGTATTTGGGGGTTTTAGCAATGAAATGGTAGTAGGTGTAAGACACATCAGAGACAGGTGAGGGTTGTCCCACAAAAGAGATCCAGTTTAGCCAGTTAGGGCTCCCTCCCCAGGAGAGATGACTGTTGAAGGTGCAGCGTGTGTGGACACACAAGGAGCTCGTGTCCAGGCCTGTCGGGTCTTATAGACAATATTTGAAATATTGGTGTGCTGGTGACATGATTGCTTTTTAGGTCTTATAGACAAGCACTTTGCCCAGACTGATGTCTAATGGAAGGTGAGTGGCACAGAGTGATGATGTTGGAATAGTCAGAGGTCCTGTATAGCCCGGGCTTGGGAACTCCATAGCCAGGAGCTTTCCTTCTGTTCTTGTCACTCTTTGCTCTCAATGAGCACAACCCCTGCGGGAGACTCACCCGTACTTCCTCCTTAGCGATGACATCATTCTCCATCTTGGCACATGGCTTCCCATCTTCAATGCACTCATAAAGGGGAGTATCTGCTGTACATGAAACAAAAAGATAAAAAAAACCCACTTACAATTAAACAATAGGTATGTACATTGGCACCATTGGTTGAAAAGCTTAAGTGTAGCAAATGATATTGAGCTCCAATCCCTGAGTGCCCGGAATTCGCTAATGATGACCAGGGCCGGAATTACTCTCCCTGCCGCCCCAAGGCCAGGTTCTGTGATACGCCCCCCCTTCCCATCAAT